CCACACACATAGATGCAGCTCCCACGAAACTAAAACTCACACCCTCTTTAGGTGTTTTGACTCATCCCTTCTCATTCTTTGGCATAAAAAGGAAAACAAAAAGAAGAAAAAAGTCATTTGCTACTGACCCAACTCAGCTAAATGAGAAGAAAATTGCCCAAAAGCTTTTGAAGCTGTGAAAAACTTCATTTTGCGCCCGTTTGGTTACAATGATGGACAGATGGTTTTAATGCTTATGGTTCAATGCGTTTGATAGATAGGTGATGGACCATCATGGAGAGATCAGGACGAAGTTACGTCTATCAATCAGTTGTTATCGTTGAGTTTCCCACAAGAACTCAAAAAGGGACCATTTTGCATGTCCTAGTCTATATATTCTTGCCCTAATATCCCACCGGGACCATCGGATGGGGCTTGTCTACCTTGTTGTGGGGTAGGACAAGGAAAAGTTATCGGGGAGAATCAGGGCGCTGATAATATTCATTTTCGGTCCTGCGACTCACAATGGTTACCGATCAATGATGATTTTTAGGAAAACTCTTTCGGTTTAGGTTAAGAAACCGATTCATCTAAACATTATTGATAGGTACCGGGAAGCCTACATGACCATCATCGGTTGCACTTTTAGGAATACTTGCAGCCATGTTACATATGGAAGGTGACCATATTGTTAATTAAACCAATGAATGAGCGTGCATTTTGTATGTTGATCCGCTTAATTTCCATGAGATCTTAAGTGTTGTTGATATTTGCTTATTCTTGAGATCTCTTATGTAACGAGCTTTTCGGCCATGAGCCAAGTTCCCACGTATAAGTAGTCAATTGGTCACTTTTTTGAGGATGAATTTTCACTTAGAAACCACTCAATAAGCGCTCTTTGATCCACAACGATCTAACCTCTTAACACTCTAAATATACTTCATAAAGTCTTCTCCCATTCAATGTGGCTTTTGGGATGTTACAAATTGCCCATAATATGGCGCTAACGCCCTTACTAATTAGGGCATGTCCAAATAGCATAGTCAATCCCATTATTCTCATACCAAAAAACAAGAAATCCCATTATTCATAGTGTCATTTGGTGCATTCCGCATTTTTCGCCATCACAGAGGCTAGCAAGGTGCCACATCTGATCCAAACCCTCTCTTGTCAAGCAGTCCCTATCCTCACCGAGTCATCTAATTAAGGCTCTGGTATGTCCACAAATCTCACATCAATCGGAGGCGACCTGACTTTGATATCATCCGTTACGACTCCACCCATTACCTTTTTACATTGGAGCTAAGCCACCAAAGGAGTACTTTAAGTTGTAGTCTCTTGTGTGAGTTATTTACTTAAGTATCGCATCTCAAATCCCTCTTTGATCCAAAAGTAGGGTTTGGAGGGGAAAAATGGGAAAAAGTCATAAATCTTTTGCATTTGTGCCAATTTAGTCCTAAATCTTTTTTTGGTGTCAATTTAGTCCTAAACCTTTTTTTTGGTGTCAATTTAGTCCTAAACCTTTTGTTGCTCTGCCAATTCAGTCCTTCTAGCTAATTTTGGCTGCATTTTGGTGAAGTGGACGCCGGCAGGCCTATGTGGCCCTGCCGGTGCTAACGTGAACAATTTTTAATAATATTTTAATATTTTTTCAATTTTTTAAATTTTTTTCTGATTTTTTTTTCTTTTTTCCTTTTTTTCTTTTTCTTTCTTCTTTCTTTAACCTTTTTCCGGTGACCGGCCACCCCGGCCATGGCGGCGTTGGCTGGCCTCACTTGCCACAAGCGAGGTCTAGCTGACCCTCGCCCATCTCGGCGAGGGGAGCCTTCGCCTAGGCAAGGCCTGGTGTCAATTTAGTCATAAATCTTTTTTTGGTGTCAATTCAATCTTAAACCTTTGACATTTGTGCCAATTTAGTCCTAAACCCTTTTTTATGCTAATTCAGTTCTAAACCTTTTGCATTGGTGCCAATTCAGTCCTTCTGGTCAATTTTGGCCCGGGTTTTGCTGACGTGGACACCAACCGGGCACCGACGCTGACGTGGGAAAATTTTAATAATATTTTAATATGTTTTTGAATTTTTATTTATTTTTTCTTTTCTTTTTTTTTTCCCTTCCCCTCCCCTCCCTCCTTCCTCCTGCCGATCGTCGGATCGGCGATTGGTCAGAGACCAAAGGTTGGCGAGGTCGACCTCGCCGGCCACTAGCGAGGCTCACCCTCGCCAGCGATAGCAAAGGCATGCCTCGCCAGATCTGGCGAGGTCTTGTCTTGCCCGCCCAGTGTGAGGCCACCCAGCGCGAGGCCGCCCTCGCGGCCATCAGGCGAGGGCTAGCCTTGCCAGTGGCTGGCAAGGTCGCACCTCTAGCCAGTTGCCGGTCCAGCGACTAGCTGGAGGAAGGAGGGAGGGGAGGAAAAAAAAAGAAAATGAAAAGAAATAAATAAATAAAAATTCAAAAATATTAAAATATTATTAAAAGTTGTCCACATCAGCGCAGGTGCCCGGTCAGCGTCCACGTCAACAAAATCCGGTGAAAATTAGTCGAAATGACTGAATTAGCACAAAAATAAAAAGTTTAGGACTGAATTAGCACAAATGCAAAAGATTTAGGACTTTTTTGACACTTTTCCCCTCATAACACTAACGTCCTCGTTAATGTTAACCTAGAAAGCCTTAGGACACACTCTCTATTCGATATGTGATTTGGCTTATTCTTTAATTATAGTCATTGACCATATACGAGATTTCTGCAAAAGGAAGCCGCTCCTTATTTGAGCATTTTGTCCATGACAATCACTCCCCGCAATCATCTAGCCCAATTTCAAATGACACATCTACTCAGTCAATCTTTGGTTCAATATTGTATCGGCTTGTTTCTAATGAACAACCGCCCCAAGTCACCATAGATGGGAGAAGGTTTACTAAGTGATTCATTAGTAAAGATCCACCCTATGGTCACAATTTCATTAGTTCTTTTAGAGTTTAGCTCATGTTGAGAGAGACTGGTCATTATAGTCAATGTTAAAACCAAGCTCCCCTCCAATGGGAAAGTGGTTAGTAGACAAGCCAACTTTGTCTACGAGGATATAGAGCGATTGTGTGATCGCCATAGCAAGAGAACTCCGACAAAGTATGGCTCATGGCAAACAATAGGATAGGGAACCATGATTGAACCTATTTACACATCCGATATGAGGGAAGTGTCACTAGACAGTAGGAGCAAAGATTGGGGCCGTCAATACTCGAAATCAAGAGAGTTTGTAACACCTTAAGGCTCATTTCAAACGCTGAAAAACAAAACGCCCCGCATCGAATTGGCAATGACCTCTTCATTAATTCATGAGTAAAGACCAATTCCCAATTGATCACCGATTAGCAACTCCTTTTCCGTTTGAGCAGTAAGATCAAAGGTGTTTCTGCTTTTCATTTCTTCGATCATGAAGGTGAAGAGATCGGATTCAAGGCAGGTACGCACAAGTCTAGTCAATGCCAAAGGTACAATCGTTTTAATGGTTGAGGGTCGCATCTACCCTGAAAACGAAGTGTCCCTCAATAAATTGTGACTGACCAGAACTTAATTCGCACGTTACTTGCTACTTGCTGGCGAGGAATCTGGCGTGCAATTTCCTTATGCCAAGTCCATCTGACACCGATTACTGCTTGACAAGCTCTACAATTTCTTTTGGAACAAAACGCAAGGAGCTGATGATTTTGACATATATTAAATGTTATCCCTAAATTTGAATTAAAAATAAATAACATTAGATAATTTCATATAATCTAGAAATTAGATTGAATATTTGCAAAAAAATCAGGGATCACATTGAACAATTTAAAAGTTCAGAGGCCAAATTGCACGTTAAGTTAAGATTCAAGGAGCACATTGAATAAATTGAAAGTTTAGGAATGACAGTACATATCGGGCCAAAGTTCGAAAACTATTTGTGTAATTATCCCTAAATCATTTGTACGCGAATAAAATGATAAGTTGGAACAATGTGACATCTCGATATTAAATCCTATCTATGTCTACCCTTACGGTGCATTGGCACTTTCACTTGCTTGACAAATCTATTTCAGAAAAGATAAGTTCTGTCTCCAACAAGAGAATCATGGAAAGAACTGATCACATCATGGAACAGCATAGTATTGATTATAACAACCTACAAAAGGCACATCTTGTCGAATAACCGTAACAATTTTTTGACATTTATTGCATTTTTATACCGATGCTCCGGTGGAAAGGCTGTCTTTTCCCGTGTCCTTTCCCCGATTCCTCCGCTACTCGGGCTTTACGCAATTGGTCGGATCAATATAGATATCCCATCGACACAACACAGGTCTTCGAAAAGGATCTCGTAGACCCGCCAAAGCACGAGAGCAACGATCTTTCGGAAAATGGAAACCTCGATGTCCATCCCGAGGATCCATAAAATAGTTCCGCCTTCCTTTGAATCATGATATCTCTCGATATTTCCCCTTCGAAGCACTAATACTTTAACAGTTCTATAACACATCTCAGATTGCCAATTGGAACGAACCATTTTTCTACGAGGACATTCGTGATTCCAAAGAGTTAATTTATTTTAAACGAGAGCGCATTGGAGTTTTTGCTCTCTCTTGTACCTCAAGAAAAAGGGCGAGAGCCCTAAAGAAGAAGAATTTCTCTATTTTTTTTTTGTACTTAGTAGGAGAAAAATAAGAATCATTCATTGGTCAAAAACGAAATTGACCCAAATTTTTCTTCCCTCTCCACATGAAATGGTTGACCCTTTTGCAATTAGAGCCAAAATTCCCTGCCCGAATTAAAGCCCGAACCGAATAATAAAAAAAAATCCCCAAACAAACAGGCCACCCAAAAAAAAAAAAAAGAGTCAAAAGGCACAGCGCTACCGCGCATAGCGTCACGCCACACGGGGGGACACGGCAAGGGCGGGGGCAACGTAATTAGGTGCAAGAGCGGAGGGCAAAACGGTCCACGAAGTGGTTTTGGCGTGCATTAACCTCCATTTTCTCGCGCAAAAGCAAAGCAAAAAGTCGTCCCCTGCTCTCTCTCTCTCTCTCTCTCTCTCTGTCTGAGCCACCCTGTACTGCTCTGTGTAGCTGTAAGCTCTACTGTTCGCTTTTGGCCCTCCCCTATACGCATCGCCATTAACGCACGCTCGCCCCGGTAGTCCCACTACCAACACTTCGCGCACTCGCGACAAATACGTCCCAACAACGCCCTTTCCCTCCCTCTCTCCCTCTCTCTGTTTTTCTGCTCTGTTTCCTTGCAGAATTCAGGACCAGTGGTGGGAAGGGAGAGAGAGAGAGCCACGGAGGGGGAGGGGACAGAAGCTGCAGGTGTCGTTACAGCTCGCAACCCAGAGAGAGATAGGGAGAGATAGGGAACTGCGTTGTGTGTTTTTTCTTAAGAGAGGGAGAGAGAGAGAGAGGGAGAGAGGCAGGGGAGGGGGGTGGTGACTGGTGTGGGGCATCGAGATTCGAGCCCGGAACGGGGAAAAGAGGAGGGAGGGCTGATCTTCGGGGCGGATCAGGACGATTTAAAGCAAAGGCGGCGAGAATTTATGATTTCACTTCATACGATTGAGACCCTTCTCTCTGTGTGACGCCATATTTCTCACCAACTTTTCCTCTAGCGAAGTTGCCCTTGTGGGCTGTTTTCTTTCCCGTTTACTCCGCAAAGGGTGTTTCTTTTTGCCCATATTTCTATTCCCATCATTGCTCACTGTGCATGTACGAACTCTCTCCGTTTCTCTCTCTCTGAACCCATTGATGTCTTGAGCAACTTGGCTCAACCGCCTTTCTTTGCTTGTCCTTCACTCCTCCCCTGCGACTCCCGAGTTCTTTCCTCCTTCGCTCTGGCAAAAGAGATAAAAGGCAGTCTCTTGCTCTGCGTGTTCTTCCTCATAGCATTGTCCTTTTCCCAATATCTTCGTTTCTAGCGAACGAGAGCTCCTTCTCTCGCATTCTCTGCTTGGAATGGTGTCCGTTAGAAGGATCATGAAGGTCTCGAGTCTGGTGGGACTGTCTCTGTGACGGGTTTGCTCGTTCAAGGAAGAATTTTTTTTCTCTGTTTCGTTCCAGCGAGCAAGATAGTTTGCGGCACAAAGCGTGTCGGCGGTTTTCAGATTCTGTCGGTTCTTGTATGGGCTCGAAACTCGCCATTTCTGTGTGACGAAAGAGTTCTCTTTTCTCGTGGCCACCTTCCGACAGGCAAAAAAAGGGTTGCTCTGTTCTTGTGCAAAAGATTGCGAAAAATGAAGTTCATGAAGTTGGGATCGAAGCCAGATGCGTTCCTAGCAGACGGAAAATCTATCAGGTGAGATGAGAACGCTTCATTGTTTATTCTATTTCGGACCAGTCCCGTTTACGTTTCTGTCTCTGCGAGCATGATATGAGCTGTGCGTGTACTTTTGTGTTGTTTTCTTGTCTTAATATAACCATTGATCGCCCTCGGTTTTTGTAATAACATATTGTCCATGCGCTTTCTGTGGGGGGCTTGTGGGTTCTTATGGGCTCATTGCGTCTTCGTTTTTGGGGGGCATTTCAGTACTTGGGACAGCGCATCTCTTTTTGGGAACAAGTATTCAACTTCTGTTTCAGACTGGCAGTGATTCTCTGTCTGCTGATTTAATGGGAGTGAAATGCCTCCTCAAGAAGAATTTAGCTGTAAACTATGAACTCGAGTTAATAATTGGACCGAAGCTGTGCAAATTTAGGATTAAGTATTGTGTTGGTATTATATATATAGAAAAGAGAGAAAAGGTTACTTTTCTTTCCTGGACAATGCGGGGGATCTGTAGCCATTGAGGTTGTGGTCCAGCTTTTGAACTTCCCTTTTTATGAGTTAGTGGTCCAAACGGGGGAAAAAGTCACATGGGGTGGCCAAGGCCTTTAATCATCAGAATGAGTAATTCTTTTTTCCTTGGAGAATAATGAGCTATGATTCTAACACGAGGTCGAGGTCTTTTGGTCTCAATCATTATGGATGAACTTTAATAGGAACCGGTATGCGCATTGAATCTCACATTATTTAGAACAGAGAGGGGAAGATGTTTTAAGTGGTTGTTTTGCTGTCCTCCTTCATTTGATTGCGTCAAAAGAGAAATTCTTGCTAGTAAAAACGTGCTTCCACTTGCAAGAGGAAAATGTAACCTGCCGGTAGCTCAGTTTGGTGGCGTTTTCTCTCGTGTCATGGCAATAAAAGTGCATGACTATTCAAATTGGATTGATTTGGAAATAAGACACAACACCCCGGAGGCACAGAGTTGCAAAGGTTAACTAAAACACAAGTACTGACTATGCTTGGACGAGGCCATGAGAAACAATAACACAACAAAATGTGTAATGGGTAATCTAATCTCGCACTAAGATAAAAACCTACCAATTCACTAATATTATTTTTGTAACTGGCAGGATCCATTGACTAACTTTATGAATCAAGCACGGTAGGTGCTCACTAATAGAGATGCAGATATTCCCAATAAGCACTTGTATTATACAAGTTGTAAATGTAAAATAAGCAGATCTATTTTCATCAATTGCGTTTCCGATGTATATATTGGACGGTGCATATTAAAAAGATATGCTTCTTCCTTCGTCCTAATGGCATGATTCTGTAGTCAACCTTACACTGATTCTTGGAGTTTCAGTTGCTGTTTTTGTTACCATAAAGCTACTTTCAATTACACTTTTCGTTCATTGATATTCTTTGTCAGCTAAGCGTTGTGAATGTACTGATGCAGGTATATATCTGCGGAACTGGCGGCGGACATTGCCATAAGTGTTGGTGAGGTTAAGTTCTACCTTCATAAGGTAAGGATTGTATCTTTTGATGCTGCCTCTAGTGTGCTAGAGAATGTTGTCTCAGCATTTATTTCTTTTCCCCTGTATGTAGGACTAGTTTATTTTGATATCACATCTGCCTCATCACAATTTGATGCTCATTTTTGCATTTGATGTATAAGAACATGAAATCGTGAAAGCTAGCATAGACATTACCAATTACCAGTAGAATTTTAAGGGTGTGAATTTGCCTATCTCATAATCTTAAATCATTCATTTTTAGTCACTGAAGCTGACTCAGTATGGTATATGCACCCCCTTCCCCCAAGAAAGGCATCAAACCAATGATCTAATTCGAAAATAATGACAGATCTTTGCCCCTGTCATTTTTCTGACTTCTACTGTAACAGGACCATGGCATGATGTCGTACAGCAGTTGAAGGCATCAATTGTTTTTACATAACTTTTGAAGTTCATCTGATTTTATTTGCAAATTTGTCTCGTGACCATTGTCATGCACAAACCATGTACATCCCTTTTCTAGCTGCTCTGATCTATTTTCTTCAAACGCATTTGCAGTTCCCTCTCTTGTCCAAGAGCTATCGCATGCAGAAGTTAGTGCTGAAGGCTAACGGGGAGAATTCTGATGAAATTAATTTGGTTGATTTTCCTGGAGGACCAAAAGCTTTTGAGATTTGTGCAAAATTCTGTTATGGGATGACGGTTACTCTTAATGCTTACAATGTTGTGGCTGCTCGTTGTGCAGCCGAATACCTTGAGATGACTGAGGATGTTGATAGGGGTAACTTGATTTTCAAAATCGAGGTATTTCTCAATTCCAGTATCTTTCGGAGCTGGAAAGATTCCATCATTGTTCTTCAAACTACAAGGTCTCTACTTCCATGGTCCGATGACCTCAAGGTAGTTGGGAGATGTATAGATTCTATTGCCTCAAAGACATCTATCGATCCTGCAAATGTTAATTGGTCATACACACACAATCGCAAATTAGCTTCGGCAGATAGAGTTCTTGAGGAGGGGATTAAGTTTCAGGAGAGAATGGAATCTGTACCCAAAGATTGGTGGATTGAAGATCTATGTGAGCTGGATATTGATCTGTTCAAGCGAGTGATCGTCGCAGTGAAGTCAAAAGGACGGATGGATGCGAATGTGATTGGAGAGGCTCTCAGAACGTATGCTGTCAGATGGCTGCCGGATTCTGTTGATGCTTTGGTCTCAGATGCCAACCAATTTAGAAACAAATCTCTTCTTGAAACTCTCATTGCTTTGTTGCCATCTGATGTTAATTCTGGTTCTTGTAGTTTTTTGCTAAAACTGCTAAAAGTGGCTACCTTGGTGGGAACAGATGGTTTGGCAAGGGAACAATTGGTGAAAAGAGTTAGCCTGAAGTTGCATGAGGCATCAGTGATAGATTTGTTAATTCCATCTTGGGCTCCACAAAGCACAAAATATGATGTAGAATTGGTGAAGTGCCTTCTGAAGCAATATCTATTGCATGGAAATTATGGCAGGGATTATGGCATCAAGAATAATGAAATTGGAAACGGGATGATCCTTTTGGAGCATAATTCTTTGTTAAATGTTGGTAAACTGATAGATGGCTATCTCGTTGAAATAGCACATGATCCCAATCTGTCACTATCAAGTTTCATCGAGTTATCACAGTCAATTCCTGATTCAGCGAGACCGATTCATGATACCTTGTACAGAGCAATTGATGTATATCTGAAGGTAACGTTTCTCAGATTCATCACAGCTGGTTCATTTTAGATGCTTAGCTTTCTCTCTCTCTCTATCTGTTTTTAAGATTGTCTTTTGAGGGATGGTACTCCTTCAGTACGAATAGAGTCGAAAATGTTTCAATCTGATGCTGAAATTGCACTATTGAATGAACTGCTTTCACGATAGTGTAGAGTTTATTTAAGTCTATACTTTGTTATCTTTGATGAAGATCTTGTGCTCTATCAATCCTGCTGCAAACTGTTATCTCATTTGGTTTTCCTCTGATGTGTCTGACTTTGACTATTAACCTGAAGCGCTCATTCTTTGCTGCAAACTGTTATCTCATTCTTTTCCTCTGGTTCAGCATGCCACATAATCTCTTTGCACAGAATGCACTTATCATCACTTAGCAAATGAAATTGGTGGAGCACCTACTCCAATTCATATGAAAAGAAGGGAATACGTCTGATAAATTTTTTTTGGGCCACAGGAGCATCAGGGCTTGACAAAATCCGAAAGAAAAAGGATATGTGGGTTGATGGATGTCAAGAAACTGACCATGGAGGCATCCATCCATGCTGCACAAAATGAACGTCTGCCACTTCGGGTTGTCGTCCAAGTTCTTTATTTCGAGCAGGTTAGAGGGGCTCAAGCCCTCACCAGCACTCAGCGGGACACTTCGTGCTCTACGACGAACACCGACGAAGAATCCGACAAGATGACCGTGGAAAGTTGCAGGAAGCTCGAGAAACAGATGAGCCGCATCAAGATTGAGGATGGGGATGCAAGGAAAAAGGGGAAGCTGGCTAAGAAAGCTTGCAGGAACAGCCGAAGTGGGGCCCAGTTGCTTCCCTCAAGATCCAGGAGGATATTCGATAGACTGTGGCCTGTCGGCAAGGGGCATGGAGAGCACAAGAGCTCCGAGACGTCTGGGAGTTCTCAGAGCCCAACGTCTGTGGTTCCTGCAGATACCAAATCTTCCAGATCGTCCACGAGACGCAGGCGGCATTCTATATCCTAGGAGAAATTCATTACCTGTTCAATGCAGAAAATTTTAGGTTGTTCCAAGTGTAAAAAGTGGTAGAAATCAATCAAGTAGTGTCCGTTTCATTTGCCTTGTTGGTTGGGTTAGTGCAGTGTCCTGGGGAAGGTGCTGATGCAGAAAGATTGGGTTCGGCGGTATGGATGCTTTCACTTTGTAAGACTTGCTGCTGCTTCTTAACTTTGTGAATTCATGAATCTAGGGTGGATATTTGCTCTCTGGAAGTGGCTTGTTACTTTATGCTGTGGAAGCTAACTGTGCCAATGTATGGAACTTGGTCACGAGCAAATGATTCAACACTCGTTCGGCCTTCGGTGACATGATTCAGCCCATGACCCTTGTTTCGGCCTCTGGCGAGGATTGGCTCAATGCCTCCTAGCCTCCTACATCATGGTGGTCTTGTGTTTTGGTACGTTTCTCATGGGATTTACATGATCTAAGATTCAGGTGCACTGGACTGACATATGTTCGGAGCACCCAATAAAGGGCCTCTCTCTCTCTCTATCTTTCTCTCTCTCTCTTTTAACACATTGGGGTCACGTATTCGCCCCGGCATGTTAAAATCGAACATGATGTGTGCACTCGGCTTGTTCAACTTAGCATTCAATAATTAAACAATGAAGGATGCAATTTTAAGTTACTTATGCGGTACATCAAAATTACTTTTAAGCCAATAATGCAAATTGCTTATCGAAGGTCATTTCCATATCATGAAAACATATACATGTGAAAACATTGTGGTCGCGCTTTGACAGATGATAAGGCTTAGAAACTTCATTGGCTCTATTGAACCTCTAGAAATCGCACTGATTGTTATTAAACTCTGAAAATCACATTAGCTATGATTAAGTTCCAAAACAAAATCGGAATATGAACATATACAATATCTCAATACGTACCCATGTTTTCATTTTTGGATGCATGTTTAAAATAACAACCAACTTTTTTTTTGGTCAAAAAATACAACCAACTTGAAAAATCCAACTTTATAAGATGATAAATTACACCTGCCAGGGCATAACATAAGAAAAACCTCCCAATATACCTGTAATGCAATTTTTACACAAAAAATGATAAATTATAATAAAAACCATGTAAAACAATTTTTACAGAAAAATGATAAATAATATTAAAAACTATATTCGACATCTCAAAAGTATTCACCGCATCAATTCACTTGGGCGTAAAACCCGTCCGGTGAAAATTATGAAAATGTCCTCTGAGACCGATTTTGGGTCCATGGGCATAAAACCCTATGGCCCAAAACATATCTAAGGCTGTAAATATGAATTTTTTTTGTGAATAAATATGTTCTTTTCTAATATGGCAAGTAGGGGTGAGCATGGTTCTAGGGTTTTGGTCAGAACCTAGAACCTGGAACCTGATAACCTAACTAGTGGGAACCTATAGGTTCCAGATTTCAAGGTATGCAGGATAGATTCCAGGTTCCAAAAATTGGGAAACCTGTTTTGACGGATATGTTATAGGTTATAGGTAAGCGGAACTTGGAACCAGGAACCTGAAACCTAAACAAGTTTTTTTGTTTTTTCTTGGTCTATATTTTTACGTGATTCTGCGGTGTTTCATGGCGTTAGATGTGTTGAGGAAAACTTCTATTGATTTTGAAGTTGACAAAACCTTCCATGTTATTGTAAATCTGATACTTATTCTAAACTAATTTATTCCAGGTATGTTTATTCTGGAAGCTCAGAAAGAAATTATTCAGACTTTACAAGCTGGTAAATATCTTATTGAAGACCCACATAATCTTAGTTCTGAAGATTCAGACGAAGAAATTATTCAGACGCAGATGCAGAAGTTATTCAGATGCAGACGAAGAAATTATTCAGAAGCAGACGCAGAAGTTCTTCTGATGCAGACGCAGAATTTCTTAAGACGCGACGCGTTGAATCGTAACGAAACACAACGCTAGTGATCCGGTATGGATTTCACGGAAGGAAAGCTTTGATCTCAATCAAATTGATTGACAATCAAAGATTACGACAAGCATGCATTACAACGGATAAAGCTCTACTTATGGAAACCAAGATTCTGATTGTATGGGTGACCATAATCAGTGGGATTCAGAATCTGTCATCCAACGGCTACTCAATCATTTTTATACAAATTTGTCCAATGTGAAGATTGGAAGATGATCTTCTAAAAGCTGTCCAACGGCTAGTCTGGAAGTAGAGGAGTATTTAAGGAGATCAACGAGCAGCAGAAGGAAGAATAGAATCAAGAATCATCAAGTCCAAAGTCTGAGCATACTCCGATCATTTTTCTCTTGTCTTTCTGAGCCATACATTAAGATCTTGAGGGACACTTTGTAAGAGTGATTGTGTGAGATAGAGAGTTCTGTCATACACAAGAGTGCTAACACTCAGAAGTTGTAATTTCTCTTGATTACATAGTGAAATCCAGCCGGTAGGCTGTCAGCGTGGGAGAGTGGACGTAGGCTTGCTATAAGCCGAACCACTATAAACTTGTGTTCAGATTTTCTATCCCTCATCTCTTACTTCACACATTGCACATCAAGAGCACCGTCTATACAATCTGTCTTGAATCTGAATTTTGTTCAGACTCTTCTGTGATTTGTTTTGTTTCCGCATAAATTATCAAAATTGTTTAAAATCACCTATTCACCCCCTTCTAGGTGATCCTTGCTAGCTACATCAAGATGATGGGTATATAATCTGAAATCACTAGTTTGAGCTTTCATTTTATGACTTGTTAATGTGTCATATTCTTCGCGTGTCTAAATATAAGTTGTGGTCAGTGGATCATAATAGTAAGTGGTGGTTATTAAAGATGATGATTCACTGCAATTGTTCAATTAATAATATAGGTGGAATCTGGGTAGACCTTGAAAATGACCTTTGAACTTGTGATATGGCAGGTTCCAGGTTCCAAAAAATGAGGAACCTATTCTCATGGGCAAATTCCAAGTGGAACCTGTACGGAATATTGAACCATTCACTTTTAGCATCGATTCACATAATGACTTCTCATTTTAATTGTATTTATTTGAATCGTAATGCCAGTAAAACTAGTTTTTTGTATTTTCCTTGGTGAATAACAAGCTTGTTCAGTATTGTTGCGTTTATTTTTGTTTTGTTTAATTAAAAATGAAATAAAAAAAAAGAACCCGTTAGATCCTGGAACCTGTGACAAGGTAGGTTCTAGGTTCTAATTTTTAAGTTCCGACGAATAGGTTCCAGGTTCCAAAAAATGAGGAACCTGTAAAAAATTTGGAACCGCTCAACCCTAATGGCAAGTACTTTAAAAGTAGCACCGGACTAGCCAAAGGTTGCAATTAAAAAAATTTCTACTACCCAAATTCCGATATATTTCAATTTATACAATTTTTATAAATTCACATCATGATTTCTTGGATTTTCCAGGACTTCTGTAATTTCTAGAAATCAGCAAAAAATTCAAATATCTTTTCAAGTTAAGAAAATTTACAGAACTCAGTGCGCTCACCGCTGATTGCAACGACGAAAAATGGCGTCGCAATTCAACGACGAGACGGACCGGACGAGCCGTGGACCACATCAGTTTTCCAAAATTTCAGCTCCTAGGTTGCCTACTTCAAGCACTCATACCTCTTTCTAGAGAGCATCAAATTGTGTTAACTTTGGTGTCCATGGGAAGCTCTCCGATATTACAGCAAGAATGCAACAGTCTACGACCCCATATCTTCCTAGAGAAATGCATATCTTGGTGAGAAGTATATGCCTACTCACCGGTCCGCGACTCCGACTTTGCAAAAGCATGCGTTTCGAATGAAGTGTCGAAATCACGTGCCCTCTAATCCCAGTGGTTCGTGGTGATGGGAAGCGCCTGGTCATGCCAAAGGTTTCGTCGGAAGTTCGCCGGAGCACTGCCGACGAGGGCAAGACTGGGGTTAGCAGAAAGCTTGATAAAAACCAATAAGTCAAGGAAGCTTTTGGCTGAATTGCATCACCAACCATCAAGTTCACGATTTTCTGATGTTAGGCTAAGTATGGATGCGTAGTTTATTCTGGCCAATTGCAATAGTTATTTAGTCATGGCTGATTAAATTTAGGGTGAATATCACGAAAAACCCTAAACTGGTATATTTGTGATAAATTTACTTCAAACTAATTTTTTTACCACTAAAAACCCAAAATTGTTACACCTGTGATAAATTTACCCTCCATTAGTTTCCATTAAATTTTACCATCAAATTGCTGAGTTGGATAACACATAACAGTTGACGGGTGTACTATTTTACGGTTTTACCCTCTGTTTATCACAGATGTACTAGTTTGTAATTTTTCGTGATATTAATCCAATTTAATGGAGGTTAAATTTGTTACAAATGCATCAGTTTGGGGTTTTTGATGGCCAAAATATTAATTTGTGGTAAATTTATCATAGATATACAAGTTTATGATTTTTGATGGTTAAAAAATTAATTTGAGGTAAATTTAGTATAAATATACCATTTTTGGATTTTCCATGATATTAACCTTGAGCAACACAAACATGCATACTATTCTTTAAATTCTAGAGCATCGCCACCTATTGCACACTCTGAATGAAATCCTACGCCTTTTGTTATGATCGTAGCATAAATATTGTCTATGACCTTCGTCATTTGTTCACTAAAAAACACATGTTCTAGTTTATCCACATGATGTCATTCGATAGAATTCGTCCGTAATGAAATAAGGGCCGATCCTAAAAGTGTCGAGAACTATCTCGATAGAATAATGAGGAGATTATCGTAATTGCAGTCCCTATTAATAATACATCGGATTTAGTGATAGAATACAGTCAAATGTTCTTAATACACCCGGAGAATGTTTCATTCGCGAACTGAATCCTACCAATCCGAAACAGAGCATGTCGCATGAAACTTTACTTAAGAGTCACATCAAAACGGTGTAGATGAACACTATCACATCCCCACCATTACTGTTCCTTCTTGTCTTTTCTCTAGGGCACGCACTCCAAGGACACGTTCTTGGTTCCGTGTCAGCTTTAGCCTTTGACTACTTGTTGGAGAAGGCCAAAAGCTCAAACGATGTCCCACGACTCGACCAGTTTCGCCACCGCCGCCTGAGCCGACCCGCCGGGACTCACCGCCGCTTTCACTTCTTCCTTGAGGTACCGCATTCGCTCCCGGACGGCCTCGCCCTCCGACCCCATCAGCCCTCGGACTCGCCGCTCCACCTCCGCCGCACTCACCGACCCGTCCCCCTCCTCCTTCATCGGCAGCGCGACCCTCATCGCCTCCACCATGAACACCCGGTTCTGCCGCTGCTCCGCATAGAGCGGCCACGCGATCATCGGGACCCCGGCGCACACGGCTTCGAGAACCGAGTTCCACCCGCAGTGCGTCACGAACCAGCCCACCGCGCCGTGGTTCAGCACCGCCACCTGCGGGGCCCAGGACTTCACGACGAGGCCCCTCCCTGCGGTCCGCTCCAGGAAGCCCTCGGGGAGCAGCGCGTCCAGGTCCGGCTCCCCTGTGGAGACTGCCTTGTGGCCCTTGCCGGTGGCCGGGTTCCGGATCACCCACAGGAACCGCTGGCCGCTCCTCTCCAGCCCGGTCGCTATCTCCTTCAGCTGCTCGGCGGAGAACGCCCCGAGGCTCCCGAAGCACAAGAGCACGACGCTTTCTCTCGGCTGCGAGTCCAACCATGTCAAGCACTCCGGCGTGTCGTTGCCCGGGCCGCCGCTCCCGGCTTTTCCGCCATCCCCGCTCGCCACCAACGGTCCGATGCAGTAGAGCGGAGGGGTGGGCCCATCCGGCACGCACTTGCCGTCCTTTATGGCTTTCACGGCTTCTTCCTCGAGCTTCTCCGACGTGTTCCCTATGATCCCTGACGCCATCAGCATGTTCGTCGCGCTCTCCAGCAAGAGCTCGTAGGCTCGGTCGTTACGGTCCTGCAACAGGTCCGGGATGTCCGAGGGCAGCAACGGCGGCAGTCCGGGGAAGCGGAGGACGGTGTCGAGGTCTTTCAAGCTCTTGGTGGTGGTCCTGTGGAGGACGGGCAAGCGAAGGAATTTGGCCAAGCCGCCCGCCGCGGAGCTGAAGAAGTAGTAGCAGGGGATGCCGAGGCCGCGCGCGACCGGCAGGGCGTTGGCGCAGAAGAAGTCGATGACGAGGGCTCGGACGCGGCTTGTCTTGGAGATGGAGACGAGGGCACGGTGGACGTTGGGGCTGTTGAGGCAGAGGAGCTCGAGGGCGAGGGTCTCGAGGTGCGGGGAGGTGGTGGAGTAGTCGGGAGGGAGGGAGGTGGGGGGGAGGTGGTGGAAGGTGATGGAACGGTAGGCGGCGGAGACGGCGGCGATGTAGGGGGAGACGGTGCCGCCGTCGTAGGCCTGGCTGGGGAGGAGGACGTGGATGGAGAAAGAAGGGCGGTTGGCGAGGAGGAGCTTGCCCAGCTCCACCATGGGTGTGAGGTGGCCGATGGCCGGCGCGGAATACAGAACCACCGCCTGATCCTCCATAAAGATGTGTGGGTTGGGATCGACGGATTGGGAAAATGAGAGAACCGTGCTCTTGAAGCAGCTTATATATATAAGGAATGTTGACAGTTGGAAAAACAAAGGTTGATATAACGAAAAAACTTCAAATTTGTATATTTGTGATAAATTTATTTAAAATTAAATTTTTGATCACTAAAATCTTCAAATCGATATATTTGTGAAAAATTTACCCTTCGTTAGTTTCTGTTTAGTTGGATTAATACCATGAAAAATTACAAACTGATATATCTGTGACAAATAGAAGGTAAAATCACAAATTGATACATCTGTCAACTGTCGCCACGTTTAATCCAACTTAGCAATATGATGATAAAATGCAGCGGAAACCGGCGTAGGGTAAATTTATCATAGGTGTACCAGTTTAGGATTTTTTGTGATATTAATCGAAAAAATGAATAATAAATAATTATCAATTATTATAAAGTCTATTTTTTTAAGAATTTATGGCTCACAATATTTTATTACTCTCTTATAGTAGCTCAAAGATCGTTAGCCTAGCAAAGTCTGTTAAGGACAAAATTCGGATATTTTAATATGTCCTGTCGTTTTATAAATGGTACATTACAAAATTAAATTTGGATGCTCTAAATTTCAGTGTGCTTTTATCGTAAACTCACATCCTTCCAAAGGTGGACACATGGGCAGCATCGGAGGGTTATGGACAGCTCAAATCCAATTTTTTCTATATTTTTTCTTGGACTTTCTTTTTTGTGCAATTATAGCATACTTCACCGGTGTGGAAAATGTTTTATACAAACGACTTCTACAATGGATAATCGTAATCTTCAAATCGAAGATAGATAAGATCATATGTCTAAAGTTTTCCGATACTAGCAATATGTGCTCTATTTTACATATTTGGCAATGGTTTGTTTGAAAGGAAAAAGTCATAAAAAAACCTTAAGTTATGCCCTATATGACATATTTATCTTGAATTTTTTTGTAATATCAAAAACCCCAAATTATACCTACTGTGACACATTTACCCTAAACTTTTTCTTATGACATTAAAAACCCCAAACTTGTACTTATGTGACATATTTACTCTCCGTCAAGGTTCCGTTAGATGATTTTTCAGTCAAAATAATATCGTTTTTATTTCACTTGAGTTACGTAGGAATTATGTCAACATTGTTTGTTTTCTGACATTTATATAGGCAGATTTTAGCGGTTTTCATTGACAGAATTTTGATGGAGGGTAAATGTGTCACACATGTACAAGTTAGAGATTTTTGGTATCACAAAAAAAAATTAAGATAAATATGTGTCACGGTGAGTATAATTTAGGATTTTTTTTGTGTGGCTTTTGCCCTTTCTTTGTATGGACGGATTGAGCGTTGTAAGTAAAGGTTCATGTACCGAGAAGACTTCTTCACACGGTTGGAGATTAATTGGTGCAAGTGGTTTTTCCTTCGATATATAGAGCCCCTTTCGGCTTTTCTCCACGGCTCTTTCCAATATCTCCCCACACCTTTTGGCCTTTAGGCCGTCGTGAAATGGCCTTTCCTTGGTAGTGAACAAAGTTTAATTTGCACGATGGTCCAACTGCGTAGCACGTGCAAAGAGGAGACCGTCGCTTCAAGCGACCTCCAATCTGGATTCCTTGAGGCAAGCACCCCGAGTCGTAATTTCAATTTTCAAAGATCAACGAATTGCTGGACACCAAATTTAAACAAACTTTTTTTTTTTATAGAAATTAAAGTTAAGTTCAACATAAATACAGAGCGAGAGAAATTAACGGCGACACCCGAGCGCTCCCCCGGGATGAGGCATGTAAATTTGGCCCCCTCGTGGGGGCATTATTGGCCAAATAAGGGGCCTTCTCACTTGTTCCGGGGCGGGGACGAGGGATGCTACGGTTGGCCTCCCACCAAGCTCCATCGCCATCCCTGAGGATGATAGATGCCGCCATGGTTGGGAGAGTTCGGATCTCATCATTGTCACGTCACTGTCACGTATTGAAAAGTCAGTTCGATTATGATTTGTTCAGATTTATTTGTAACACACGATAAGAGTGGACAATTTAAATAAGTGGCTCATGGTTAACATTCGACGAGAGCATGCCACATTTCTTAGCGTGCTAATTTTATAGACCCACATCTTAATATACTTGGCCTTGCCCTCTAGTATTCCTTTTTATAATGCGTAACATCGGTTAGAGGATAAGGTCTAAGTACTTAAAGGACTTCGTCAAACCACGAGATATTGTGTGATCAACACAGTTACGTGAATGCGCTCTTATGCTGTGTTAAAAGATTTTCCACAAAAAGGTAAAGGATAATAGACGGTGAGGCCTACCTTATTTGATGTGTGGTTAACGTTGGAGTCCAACATTTCATAATGTCAAGCATGCCCAATTTGACTCAAAATCAGCGACGAAGTCAAATGATGCTGGACTTCACAAAATGGCCAAAAGGGCGAAGACAAAAAGGAAAAGAAAGAAAGAAAACTTCACAGTGACGCAAAACCGTAGGTCAACCAGTTATTTCCATTGACAAATTTGCCGGTTGAAAGTTCGATGGACTTTCCACTAGGGTTTGTGAAGGCATACATTGCACAGCTCAAGATCTCAAAGAAATAATAATAATAATAAGAAGAAGAAGAAGAAGAAGAAGAAGAAGAAGAAGAAGAAGAAGAAGAAGGTAGACGACGGTCTCGTGAGGTAATCCATTAATTTAGGTAGTGGAGTCAAATTCTAGATTGTTAGAATTGTAGATATTTACTTGGGAGGGGGAAATCGAGTATGTGTTGTGTGCATGCTTCGGGGATATACCTGAATCAGAGCCGATTTGACAAAGTTCAATACTCGAGCTCAACTCAATTTACATATACTTGATGGTATGCTCGAGCTCGATCAAGCGTGATTCTTCAAGCTCGAGTTTGACTCGGAGAAATCATCAATGAGTTCAAGTTTAACTCGACTAAGCTTGGTATTTCGATAGATTTTATATGGAACTTGAACTTGAGTTCACACCTGTGCTCAAACTATAACTTCTCGACTACTCAAGTATTTTCGGGCACTAGCTTGACTAGAATTAAGTACTCAAACTTTTCGAGCTTTCCTCGATTTCAAAAAATAAAAATAAAAAATAAAAAAATAGAAGTGAGTTCAAGTAACATGTGAGTTTAACTATTAGTCAAACTCAAGTAGCTCACGAGCAGCATGACTTGGCTACGCCCTAACCTAATTTACATACATAGATATGCTCCTTAACTACTAAGTCAATCCTGTAGAATTGTGGAGAGGAAAATTTTTAGCAATCGACGAATATTTTACAAGTAAATTTTGTAAATTGCCTTTATTTTATACATGAAATCCACCTTTGACCCTATTTTATGATTAATATAGGACTATCACCACTTCATCACTCACACGAGCTAGCTCATCAAATAAGGGCAAGAATGATTTAATGATTTAGAATTATGGGATAAGTGCATTTGGAAGTTCTAAAACTTATCAAATTGGTCCAATCAAGTCCATCCGTTGATTGCACTTTTTAAAAATTTAGGACTCGGTTGCACTTTTATGGCAAGTTTTAGGATTTGATTGCATTTTTTAAGAGTTTTAGGATTCAATTGCACTTTCGTGATAAATTTTAGGACTCGATTATATTTTCTTAAAGTTTTATGACTCAATTGCATGTTTATGACAAGTTTTAGGACTTTCAATGCACATATTCTTAAATTATTAATTAGGTGGGAAAATGCAATATATTCGTTAAGATTGCACGAACTGCATGTCTTAAAACTGTGGGAATCACAACAGCAGATGACTGATGTTCCCTGCATATACTAATATTTAACTTGGACGAAGGACTTTCTATTACCGGTCCTCCGACATTCTTCTTCTTCTTTTTGTCCAAATACAAATTAAATTAAACTCAGAAAACATATTAACCCCCAAAAATATGAGAATAATCTTATGGCGACTCAGCAAATAAATGCACACGAGTTCATTTAATTTCATTTCCATGACCGGTGACAACTTCGGTTGAGATCATATGGTGGGGATACCTTCGCCATGAAAGAGGAGAGACGCAGTTGACCGGTGAATTTAATTTCACACAGCAATTCCCAAGTTTAATTTAACAGGAGGAGGAGGAGGAGTTGGAAAGAAGGGCCGTAGATCTCGGGGTTTTGATCGAGCATTTTGAATCCTGCTGCATATGTACATGTGGCATAATTCTAATGGAGGGCCTATTGTAAAGTTAGTAGATCTTATGACCACACAACTTCCTACCTTCAAGATTATATTACTGTCCGTCATGTCACCACTAAGGTGTCCGAGAAGATGTTCTTAGCATTTGGCTTTCCATGTTCGGCCTTGCCCATAGTCTCGCCACCCATTTGGGACATTAAATGGGATGTTTGGTTTCTAATCTGAGCAAGTCCTTAAAAGACTTCGTTTGAACTTTGGGATGTTAAAATTCGGGAGTATTCTCTGGGGAGAGGGAAGAAAAACTTTCTCTCTAATTGTGGAGGTTTGGTCGTGTGGGCACCGGCACATTAAAATAAAAAACGTAGTCTTATTAGCCCGTCAACACTTGGACAGGTGTTCTCAGGATTTGGCTTTCCATGTTTGGCCTCGCCCATAATCTCGCCAGCCATTTGGGACATTAAATTGGATGTTAGGTTTACCCACTCCGGTCCAATCCAAGTTTATGGTCAGAAACGATTTTAACACCAAGGTACGTTAAAATTCGGGGGTATTCTCTCGGGAGAGGGACGAAAAGCTTTCTGTCTAATTGGGGAGGTTTAATCGTGCAGGCATCGGCACATTAAAATACGAAACGTAGTCCTGTTAGGCTGTTAACACTTGGACAAGTGCTCTCAGGATTTGGCTTTCCATGTTCGGCCTTGCTTATAATCTCGCCAGCCATTTGGGACATTAAATTGGATGTTAGGTTTACAAGCTCCGGTCCAATCCGAGTTTATGGTCAGAAACGATTTTAACACCCAGGGATTGTCCTTTCACCATAGAGGCTATAAAGGCGCTGATAAGGTTTGGTGTACTTCTCACTG